CACATGACTTTTCCCATGTGGGGAATCGAACCCGGACCTTGGAACATTATCCTATGAGTGAGTGAGTGAGTTGGGTTTAATGCCGCTTTTAAAAGTATTACAGTTATGTCACGACGTGTCAGCTTATTGTTGGAGGAAAGCCCGAAGTGATGCATGTCTCGGGCGTTTACCACTTCGGTGAAACCCACGAGCACGGGTATGGTGCTGACAAACCTAGAAACATAATCGGGGCGAACCGGGATTCGAACCCACAATCATAGGCTTCTGGCGTGCCCAAGGGACGCAACTCTGCACAGCGAATCGCGGCGCCTCAGACGACTGGGCCACCCGTGCCCCCCATTAACCTATGAACTACCCTACAGCCCCAAATCACCCATGAATACGGTCTGCAGTGCTGTGTACTGAAACTTTTAATCGACCATTCAAACTACCGTCTGGTTCATGTGAGATGGGTGCCAGAGAAGTGCTCTGACCAATGAACGCTCAGATGACATCGGTTAAAAACAAAGATGGCGACCCCGCTGTTGAACGGAGAAGCAGAGAAACTTTCTTCACAAAAACTATTGGAATTTCAAACTGACATTGGGAGTGCTTTCTGAAAAGACTTTATTTAAAAATATGTTTTATGCATTTAAACCCTGTGTCCATGTGTTGCCCTAAGTGGTGACTAAGGGAATCGGGTGGTCAGGCTCGCTGACTTGGTTGATGCACGTCATCCTATCCTAATTTCGTAGATCGATGCTCATGGTGTCAATCACTGGACTGTCTGATTCAGACGCTACTATTAACAGACCGCCGTCATATAGCTGGAATATTGCTGAGTGTGGCGTTAAACAACAAACAAACGAAAAGCTGAGTCGCTGGATTGATGGCTTGGAGACAGTGTGCTGTGTCTGGGTATCAATGTCAAACTGCGGCATATTTCAGTGGGCTCGCACAACATAACCGGCAGTCGTCTGGACTAGTGCAAGCAGACAGACAGACAGGCAGACAGACACACACAGACACACACACACACACTCCGTTGGCTTGTTGAAACGCATTACGTATCATCGAACCCCAGTGGATTCGGAATTAATGGAGCGATGCTAATACCCTCAGTCGTTGGTTTGCTTGTTTCAGACTCGATAATTTACAGGCTGTAAATCTGCTCTGCGAATTGTGACACCTCAGACGATAGAGCCACCTGTGTCACTGACACTCACGTGAAATGTTTGTCAGTTCAGTGACAGTCGAGCTGCACGGGCTGTATCTGCTAACCTGCCACCGGCACCATCTGCAGTGTGCACGCACTGCATGCAGTCTAACCCAGCAGCACGTGCAGGCAGTGCGCGATGACGTAACGATCTTGATCACGCGATAAACACCTTAACAGTTTAAATACGTTACCTGTCAAGGAGTTGTGTTGAACTCGCCGTAATATGTAGACCACAAAAATATTTACCTCTTCAAACGTTCGCTGTCCACGACAACGCCCAACGCTGAGATTTGCAGTGAAAACATTGCTGTGTCTGAACAGGGGAGTACAAGCAAGGGTCAGCATTCGACTGGGTCAGTTTCCTTGTACTTGTGACGCATAATGTGTCCCAGAAACGATTTAAGGCAGACAGGTTGGTTGGTTGGTTTGTTGTTTAACGCCGCACTCAGCAATATTCCATCTATGTGACGGGGGTCTGTAAATAATCGAGTCTGGACCAGACAATCTAGTGATTAATATCATGAGCATCGATCCACGCAATTGGGATACGATGACTTGCATCTACCAAGTCAGCGAGCCTGACCACCCGATCCCGTTAGTCGCCTTTTACGACAAGCATAGTCGCCTTTTACGGCAAGCATGGGTTGCTGAAGACCTATTCTACCCCGGAATCTTCACGGGTTGCTTATTAGGGTACCCTTGTGGCAAAACGTGTGTCACATTTCACCTCCAGGTTCGATTTTCTCGCATGGTGATGTATACCCATTCTTTGTGTATATATACATATTGGCCCAGTCGCCTAAGGTGCCGCAATTCGCTGTGCAGAGTTGCGTCCCTTCGGCACGCCAGAAACCTATGATTGTAGGTTCGAATCCCGGTTCGCTACGATTATGTTTCTAGGTTTGTCGGCACCATACCCGTGCTCGTGGGTTTCACCAAAGGGGTAAACGTCTAAGACCTGCATCACTTCGGGCTTTCCTCCCGCATTAAGCTGACCCGCCGTGATAAAACTGGAATACTGAAAAACCGCGTTTAATCCAACTCTCTCACACACCCTTCATGTCGGTGGGGGTAGCCTAGTGGTTAAAGCGTTCGCTTCACGACCCGGGTTCGATTCACGACATGGGTACAATGTGTGAAGCCCATTTCTGGTGTCTCCCGCTGTGATATTGCTGGAATATTGCTAAAAACGGCGTAAAACCATACTCACTCACTCCTCCCCTTAGTGTCGGTTGGGTAGCCTAGTGAATCCTGAAGACCCAGGCACGACTCCCCACATGCGCACAATGTGTGGTCTCCCGCTTAAAGCGGCCTAAAATCATACAAACGCATGCCATGAAGCCCTTTCTGGGGTCTTTCCCTAATTTCAATGCAGACTAAACTTCAGTTATGTTTATGCTGCTTGTTTTTGCGTACATCTTGATTATGAATCGGTGGAAGCTTTGTTTTGAAGGAATGATACGTGGTTCTGTGATATGGAAAAGGAAGATTTTACAGACGATTCCGCTGCTGAACGAAGATCAAAATCATTTGAATTCTATTTTTCTGAAATACCCAGCGCCCGGTTTTAAATATATGTCGCTATTAAGAAAAACAGTATTTACCCGGTAATGCAAACTCACAATCGGAATAACTGTTGAATATCAAGATCGCTTGTAATTAAATTCAACATCAGAAACTGTTAAGAGGAATTCGAAGATGCTGGGATAAGCCATATGCCTCAACTTTGAAGATCAAAGAGATTGACCCACAGTTTGAATACATATTGTTTATATATTCACGCGAGATGAGGTCAACATATGTCTGACACATTTTTGTATTAGTTATCAAAATACTGTTTCCAGTGTATCTATTTTGAAATATTTACATAAAGGGTTTAGACAATATATACAATATCGTCCTTTCAAGTGAATACTATTTTCATCATAGGTGATGATAGTGGGGAAGAGACATCACGATTATTCAGCGTATTTCATAATGCTCAGAAGAAGTAAGAGAACACCTTTTTCACATGACTATATTAAATCTGTAATGCCATGATAAATTAGATATTGTAATATGAAAGAATAGGGTGACCCTTAACTTATTTTGAGTAGTATATATGGTTCATCATATCATTGTTTAACGCCACTCTCGGCAATATTCCAGCTGTATGACGACAGCCTATACTTAATCCAGACAATCCAGTGATCAATATTGTGAGAAACGATCAAAGTCGTCGGGTACGTTGTCACGACATCCACCACGTCACCGAGCCTCACTATATCGATTATTCGGTTGTTGTTTAACGCCGCACTCAGCAATATTCCAGCTGTATGACGGCCCCCGATCCGTTAAGACACCTTCATTGCACTACACAGCCTTCCAATTGTGGGTGTTCTTTAACTTGTTTTGAGTAGCGTATCTCCGTTCTATTATGACACTTGACAAGCGCCTGTGGCATACATCAGGACTAAGTCCTTATGCTGTTCAGAAACATTTCCACGGGAGAATTACTTTCAAATGTGTCAAACCCAGTGTCCTCAAGCGTTATATTACTGGACTATTTTTAAAGGCGTCGTAAAACCCTCTTTACTCTAACAAAGGGGGCACGGGTGGCCCAGTCGTCTAAGGCGCCGCGATTCGCCGTGCAGAGTTGCGTCCCTTGGGCACGCCAGAAACCTATGATTGTGGGTTCGAATCCCGGTTCGCCTCGATTATGTTTCTAGGTTTGTCAGCACCATACCCGTGCTCTTGGGTTTCACTAAAGTGTTAAACGTCTGAGACCTGCATCACTTCAGGCTTTCCTCCCACATTAAGCTGACACGCCGTGATATAACTGGGATAATGTTAAAAGCGGCGTTAAACCTAACTCACTCACTCACTCTAACAAAAGAGAGGCCTGGTCACATTGATAAGCGTCTGACAAGGCGAGTATGGTTTCGCGACTTTCAAGTTTGAGGCTCGAACAAGGTCTTTGGCTGAACGAGCAAACGCCCTATCCACATGCCCCCATCCTTCTCTGTGTAATATCCTTTCTTTGTCCTTTGTTTGTTGTTTAACGCCGCACTCAGCAATATTCCAGCTATATGACGGCGGTCTGTTAATAATCGAGTCTGGACCAGACAATCCAGTGGCTGACATCATGAACATCGATCCACGCAATTGGCATACGATGACGTGCATTAACCAAATCAGTGATCCTGACCACCCGATCCCGTTAGTCGCCTCTTACGACAAGCATACAGTGTAGTTGCCTTTTAGGGCAAGCATGGGTTGTTGAAGACCTATTCTACGCCGGATCTTCACGGGTGTGTAATGTTAGTTTTTGTTTTGTTTGCTTGTTGTTTAAGGTTGCACTTAGTATTATTACAGCTATATGGCGGCGGCCTGAAAACAATCGAGCCTGGACCTGACAATCCTGTGATCGATATTGTTGGGGTACGATGACACGCAAGTAACCGAGCCCGACCACAAGACTCATTGGCCGCCACTTACGACATCGGCAGCGTGTGACCTGCTCAAACCCAGAATCCCCAAAGGGAAATGCCAGTTTAAGACAATGTTACACGTGTATGACGTAACACATGCTTTGTTATACCGTGAGGATGAGAGGCAGAATTTATACTGGTTACCCATGACTGAGGGTGGCTTCAGTGTGGGTCCTGACTGGCCGACGGGATTGATCTTTGTTCATGCTATCAGTCACTGGTTTGTCTTGCCAAGACTCAATTATTTTACAGGTCGCCGTGAAATAACCAGTATTGTCTGCGGCGAAAAATAACACCCGTTCACTCACAAAATACTCCAATTCCAATTGTTAAGTAGAAACGTTTTTATTGTAATAACAACTGATGTTTGTCACGTTTACAAACAAATATACTAGAATCGACCATACAATACGATTTTTCAACACTTTTATTAACAAATATCACAGAGCTAAAGACAAACAATATGGCACATTTCTGAAGCACGGCTATCACAGGAAAAACATAACGTCACACAGATGGTACAAAAGTCCACAATAACGAAACTGGACACATCTATATAGCACACGCAGGCCTCAAATTAAGTATCACATTGGGAAGGGGTCCAGTTTTCCAAGGGGCCACAATTTACCATGCAGGGTTGCGTCCCTTAAGAATGTCAGACTTCAATGATTCTGGGTTCAAATCCATTCTTTCTATCTGATCATGGCCATTGGTTGAATACCAGCAAAACTGTGCTCGTCTGTATCGCCATTGGTAAAATATTAAGATGTATATCAATTTGGGCATTCCTCCCCATGACACACCTCGATATGAGCACTGTTCAAAGCGGCGTTAAACTCACTCCCCCACTCATATCACGTTCAGATACCTTGTAACACGTTAATGCTGCATGCATGCCAGTTTGTACAAACGAACATCATTAACCCCCGGCGTAGCCTGATAGTATCTGCCATGAACTACAAGTACTATTGCTGTTGTTGATTACTGGGGCGGTCGGGTAGCCTAGTGGTTAAAGCGTTCGCTCGTCACGCCTAAGACCCGGGTTCGATTCACGACATGGGTACAATGTGTGAAGCCCATTACTGGCGTCCCCCGCCGTGATATTGCTGGAATATTGCTAAAAGCGGCGTAAAACCATACTCACTCACTCACTCACTTGTTGATTACTGGGTCATTCGTACACACATCACAGCTCCGTTTCACAAAGTCTATGTGCTGCGGTTAAAATACACCCACAGCTGTAAGGGATAGTTGTAGCACTGGGTCGTGAGTCTGCGATTGTCGTAGGTCAACGATTTGCCGAACTTTACGACAGTCGTAGCGTTAATATTAACGTAGATTTACGATAGTCGTGGCACAAAGATTACGATAGTTGAAGAAATAAGCTAAGCGGAGCGTAAGGATAGTGTAGCACAGTGGTTAACTTTACGACGGATGAAGCATTGAGTTCAGCGTAACTTTAAACACGTCTGAACACGATTATTTACGTAAGATAACGAGGTTTATAGCGCAAAGATTAGCATAGCTTTACGCTAATCGTACACATATTTACTCAACGTTTCGACACTTGAAGCACTAAGATGAGCGTAGCTTTACAATAAGCGTAGCATTATGATTTACGGAGATTCATAGCGCTACGATTTATAACGACGATGGTCGTATCGCTACGGAAGGGTATCTTGGCCAGTGTAGACACTAGGAGCTACGTACGTGTCAGGCTGACAGTCATCTTATCCTTGGGTCTGACACCGGGGAACATGGTGATGCTAGAGTCCTTCACAATGTCAACACTCCACGTCCTCATCAGATTAATAACGAACACGCGTAGCAAGATGTCGGCGTATTCTTTACCCGGACAGACGCGGGAACCACCCCCGAAGGCCAGGAACGCAGGCTTGATATCTTTATTGAGCCATCGGTCGGGATCGAACCTCAGAGGGTCGGTGAGAGAAGGGTCGTGTTCGTGAGTCTCTCTGATCCCAGCGATCACTCGCCAGCCTTTAGGGATGTAGAAGTCCTGAAACAGATGGGTTTAGTATACAGATACACGTCACATACATATGTCAAGTTTGTAGATGTGATCCAGGTTTCCCAGTACCTATGCTGGGCGTGAGAACCGACTAAATTAGAGACTGGGAGGCTACAGTGGTATTGCCCCGCAGGGCTCCGTCCCATAAAGCAATCGTATTGCTAAGATGATCGTAACTCCCATATAACCTTTACTACAGTCGTAGCGCTAGGAACACTTTATATAAGGGGTCCCGGGCCCATTCGGCGTGGGTCATTGCTCAGGGTGCCAACTTCTGGTTTGTTTGGCCTACGTTCGATTATTTCAGGCCGCCTGATCTAGCTGGAATATTGCGGCGTAAAATAACATCTGTTCATTCACAACGGAGCATGTGGGTGGACAATATATGAATGGTAATTGCTGGATGTGTGGCCATCGCTGAAAGTCTACCCATCTCTGTACATGTCATCATAATGCACTGCGGAACATGAACAAACGTAGTTTGATTTCATGAAAATATGCAGTAAAGAAGAGACTATTACGCGCTCACGGCAATAAACGTCAGTCGAATTACGTGTATTTAAAGGGACCTCAAGCTTTGGGAAAATAGCAGCCCCGGGGAGTTTTATTATTCGTCTACTAACATACTGATACAGAGAATACCTTCTCAAATGTCTCACGGGGACGGGCTTGCCGGATGGGAAATAATACTGTTCAGGGACTGTGAGACAGACTTAAACAATCACTGTGACTAACTCATTTGGTGGTATTTTTTCAACAAAATTTCAACGCGAATTTTAAAATCACAAAATTCCATCCTTTTCCCAAACATCTGCATCCGTGCTTGAGGAGTATCTGGTAGAGATGTAGAAGTATTCTAAACTTCCACGGTTGTGTGTAGACTTGTACCAGCATCGATATCTACTTAACTGGTTATTCTGCTTCACTGCTACGGCAAAGTACATTCGACTCTAAACTGGGTGCTGTGTTTTCCCATCTCACTCTCAACGCGTCACTTTCTAGGTTAAGGTGTCAGGCTACGCTAAGTAACCATGGCAAAGTACACCTGATGGCCTATATATAATCACTTGAAGTACTAGATGCTGCTGGCCGAGACCACCCAGGAGGCTTAAGGTTGAGGAGACTTAAGGATACAGGTTATACTGGGCTATGTCAGGTCGTAGCGGGTCATACCGGGTCATATCTGGTCATGTCGGAACACCTCGGGTCAGATTGGAGCACACCGGGTTGAGCCGACACTCCTCGGGTCACAGGTGACGGTGACCGTATGAAAGTGGGTGACTGCCAGCAAAGCTATATATATTTAGCGTGAATGTACGTACTTGGGTTATCGTGTATCCCGGTGTTTATGTGAGTGAGTGAATGTGAGAATGTGAGTGAGGTTAAGTCTTTCAAATATCAATTTCGTAATATCACATATTGTCGGAGGAAAGGCATAAGTCACTAAGGTCCTGGACCGTAACTCTGTTAAATATTACGAACATGAGTCAGGTGCTACGAACGACAAGAATCTGGGATTCGAATACGACTAGCAGATTCTGAACATAACACGCCGTGATATGACTGGAATACTGTTAAAAGCGGCGTTAAACACAACTCACTCACTCACTCGCTCACTGAACATAAAAGGCCAGCTTACACATATCACCCATGGCAAATCCGCTCTGTTTGTCTTCTAACTCTGATTCGATTTGAAGCAATTAATAAGTGCCTAGTTTGCACAATTATGGAGAAGAGACCCTTTCTAATAGATCAAATTATTTGAAAACTGCGTGCATATTATCATTTAGTTGGTTGGTTTGTTGTTTTACGCCGCACTCAGCAATATTCCATCTATATGACGGCGGTCTTTAAATAATCGAGTCTGGACCAGACAATCGAGTGATAAAATCATGAGCATCGATCCACGCATTTGGGATACGATGACAAGCTTCAACCAAGTCAGCGAGCCTGACCACCCGATCCCGTTAGTCGCCTCTTACGACAAGCATAGTCGCCTTTTACGGCAAGCATGGGTTGCTGAAGACCTACTCTACCCCGGATCTTCACGGGTGGCATATTATGTAATCACGTATTAGTTACGTATACAGTTCATGCAATTATAATGTTATTACGTTAATTCGAGGTCATGAAACACTGTAACATCGTGGCATACTAACATTGATTGTGAAGGCTTCTGTGACAGTTCTGTAGAAACCGCCGACCGGGGGCATTAATCTCATAGCCTCCTTCACCACTGCCCGGATGTAGGACAGACCGCGCACCTGCTCCAAAGTGAGGTCCTCATGGGCGTGGTCTCCTACAGCCCCTCCCAGTAGGCCCGCCTCCTCAAGCTCCACGTGTATCTTGTTGACAACCTCTGGGTGCCGGGCAAGAAAGTTGACTATGGCGAACATCCCCGAACCGTTATTATCTGCCCCGACAAACAGCAGCTCAAAGAGGGATTCCAGCATCTCAAGTTGGGTCTGGGATGCGTGCAAGTCTGTGGTTGGCTGCAACGTTTCTGTGAGGACTGATGTCTGCTTGTTGCCAGGTCTCTGGGTTTTGGAGATATTTTCTATAATTGTCAACAATCGTTTCTTTGCGTTGTAGGCCTAAAATAGAAAGGTCAAAATAAATTGCTATTTAGTGTCAACGAACAATGGCCAAAAGTAAACATAGACAAACTTTAAACATTTATTGATACATATTGATGAGACTACACATGCTTCAATTACACAGCGGGGGCGCGAGTGGCCAAGTAGAGTAAGGCGCGCAATCCGCTGTGCAGTTCCGTCCCTTGAGCACATCAGAAACCTATGATAGTGGGTTCGCCCCGATTATGTTTCTAAGTTTTGCAGCACCATACCCGTGCTCGTGGGTTTCAAGGTGGTAAACGTCTAAGGCCTGTGTCACCTCGGGCTTTATGCCCACGTTAGGCTGACACGCCGTAATATAACTCAGTAATATTGTCTGAATACTGTCATATCAGGGCATGCCAGCTTCATATGTTTTGTTTTGTTTTGTTTCAATATTCCAGCTATATGACGGCGGTCCGTAAATAATAGAGTCAGGACCAGACAATCCAGTGATTGACATCATAAGCATCGATCCACGCAATTGGGATACGATGACATGCCTCACCACTCGATCCCGTTAGTCGCCTCTTACGACAAGCACAGTCAGCTTTTTCCGGCAAGCATGGGTTGCCGAAGACCTATTCTACCCCGGATCTTCACGGCTCGCTGCATTTTTACAGATATGAGACGTTTGGCCACTTTCGTGGACCCTGGACCCTTGGAATGGTGCTGAAAGACAAGGATTACAAGCACCCATTCCGTATACAAGACAGAATGACGATGAATTACCTTATAGTAGCTCGTGCCTGGGAAATACACTGGAAAACAGAACAAATTGTCTGTGAACTCCGACAACAGACTTCTGATCTCGTCAAGCTGGGATGGCGACAACTCCATATCGAGAAGGAACCGTGACGCAACTTCCGCCGACAGAGCTTTGCATGCTGGGTATATATCTATGACTTCCTGTTTGTTCCATTTCAGAAGATGCTGACTGACAACGCCGGAGAATAGTGATACGTGATCTTGGAAGAAGTCGCGGGACAGATATTGAGTGAGGTGGCGCTTCCGTTCACGATGATGGGGTCCAGATGAGGTTGCAATGGAGTTGTCACCGAGGAGACGTCTGACTGATACGGGGTAAAAGGACCTCAACTGGCGTCCCTCCATTTGTATCAGCTGTTTGATGTTGGCCTCCCCAGTGACCCGCACCGCCGGACACCCGAACAGGTGCGTGCGGAAGATGGCGCCAAACTGTGTGCGACGTTTACGGAAGAAGTCGTCCTGTAAAGTTAAAATCAATTGTGAATAACAACATGCACGAGAATCAAATCCTTTTAGTTGAACATTACTGAGCGAGCGTGACTTCGCTTTTAGCTATCTTCAGGACGAAAAAATCAGAGAGCGCACTTAGCATAAAGCATGCGGAAAAACCCAGGTCTTTGACTGGATGTCCGAACGTTTTTCCACAAACCTTAAACTTTACTTATAATCGACACGTGATGTCCTCGGCTTTCAGAGCTGTTTTAGCGACCCACGTCAATATTTGATCTATATTTGAAATTGTACCAATTACATACGGTTCGTATTCCAGGATGGAATCGGGGGCACGGGTGGCCCAGTCGTCTAAGGCGCTGTGCAGAGTTGCGTCCCTTGGGCACGCCAGAAACCTATGATTGTGGGTTCGAATCCCGGTTCGCCCCTATCACGTTTCTAGGTTTGTCAGCACCATACCCGTGCTCGTGGGGTTCGCCGAAGTGATAAACGTCTGAGACATGCATCACTTCGGGCTTTCCTCCCACATTAAGCTGACACGCCGTGATATAACTGAAATAATGTTAAAAGCGGCGTTAAACCAAACTCCTTCACTCCCTCTTAGATGGAATCGATTTTGGACGCCTTATGAGGTCAAACGTACAAGTCGAAAGGAACTTCTTTTTTAAGGGCATCAAAACTGGAAATCGATGATGACTGTATACTCCGTAAAACATGCCAATAGTATCATAAAATCAATTTATTCGATTTTTTTTACCAATTTAAACATTAATTAAATATATATTGTATAGCGCATAATAATGGAAAATATTCGTTTGGCAAAATTCAGACAAACCTTTTGTGAAGCAAGCAGATGGGTCTCACCAAGAAACGGCAGGCCGTTATTCCCCGGGGGAAGGGATTTGCCGTCCCGGGGAGAGAGGCACTCCAGAGACCCCCGGTGCCTGTACACCAGCAGGGACACAGTCATGAGGAACAAAATACACATGACGAACAGCGACACAAGACCATCATCGACGTGGGTGGACCAGGCTCGAAGAAAGACAGATTCCATATTGTTATGGGTGTGTTTACAATGGCCGATACTGTTACCGGTGTTGTAAACTTTTTGGTCCATACCAGTATATATACCGGTAGTATTGCCGTCATCAATCACATGACATTACGCGCCAGTACTCCCCATTTACATAAATTAACCATGCATAGCTGTAGCTGTCATAAAGGTCTACAATGGCCATCGTACAGATTTGTACATACATAGCATCAGTCGGTCAGAAAAGGGAGGAGTCGTAATAAGCCACGCCCTTCCCCTCCCCCTTCTTGGTTGATGTATCGATAGGTAAAGGATTTTTGATTTGTAAACTAACGGGGGTTTATTTAGTAACATTTGTTATATACAGCTATTCCTTAAACTGTACAGAAAAACAGCTGAACACTGTCATGGATTAAATATTGGTGATGAAACTTAACGAAAGATATAATACTAGTAGCAAATACAGACATGATAATAAGATATATGAACAGAAAAAATTCAAATTTTAAATTAAAGAAAATATTTCTGATTTTCCATGTTTCAAATTTCCAGAAATAATGGATGGTAAGTAATATATATTAGTTTTTTTATTATTAATAATCATATCTTATGGCTAATGTTTTAAGCGTTTTATTTCGCCGCAGTGCTATAGCCGTAATGACATTGCAAATGCGAATGCAATGAAATCGCTGTTATTTTACGTTCAATTTAATATTTTATCAGGTGCAGTTATTGAGTTTTATTTTTATGTTTGTAATGGAAACTGTAGATAGGCGAGTAGTACAATTATATGACGCGAATTTCAAGGAGTGAAATCAACCAACAATAATTCGGTCATGTTGGTGATTCACGTTTGATGGTGAGAATGTGCTGACAGGTCTTTCAGAATAAATTACAGATTAAGGCCTCAAGTCACTTTAATTTGCTGGTTGTACTATTCCCCTTCCACATCCACGACTAATAACAATACAGGGGGATGCTGGGACGTGGAAAGAACGTTGAACTGAGGAGGACACCCTGACCTATATACAACAAAGCATATATGTGTAAATAGGTAACTCTGACCCAGTTACCACAAGAGTTTATATCCACCCAATTTTATGACGTACGCCTTTGTGTGTTGTTTCGGTTAGTCCAGTACGTGTGGCGTTACGGTGGTGAACGTGACGTTGACAGTATTCAGCAATGATGTTCTTTCAGAGATGAAGATATTGACTTAATAAGTTCACTGTTGGGTTCATGACTTCCCTGCCTATGCATCAGACCCCCTTGCGTTCTTGAAATGAAGTTTGTTTGTTGAGTAATGCAGCACTCAGCAATATTTCAGCTATATGACAGCGACCTGTATAAAATCGAGTCTGAACCAGACAATTCAGTGATTGATATCATGAACATCGATCTACGCAATTGGGATACGATGACTGCATCAACCAAGTCAGCGAGCCTGAACACCCAATCTCGTCAGTCGCCTCTTACGACAAGCATTGTCGCCTTTTAAGGCAAGCATGGGTTGCTGAAGACCTATCCTACCCCGGAACTTCAAGGGGTTGTCAGTAGCGGGGTGTATGGCATTCACGAGCTGACGTTCTTGTACAATTCCATTCACCTCGTAATAATCTCGTGCCTCCAGCTACTGCCACTTGTAAATTATAGTGCCGCTTTGAGCAATATTCCAACCTGAAACAAAGAATTAGTTTAACACATCGGACCCTTGTTTGTTTGTTTGTTGTTTAACGCCGCACCCAACAATATTCAAGCTATATGGCAGTGAGTCTGGACCCGACAATCCAGTGATTGATATCATGAGCATCGATCCACGCAATTGGGATACGATGACATGCATCAACCTTTTACGGCAAGCATGGTTGCTGAAGACCTATTCTACCCCGGATCTTTACGGGTCGGATTGGAATCGAACCCGACTCCAACATGACTAACCGATGCTTCAACAACTGGAAAAGGATCAGACGGACTTCAGTTATGTAAATCAATTGCATGTTACTGTGCCGTGCAAAGGCGTCAGGTTTGTCCACCACACCCTGCCAAAGATTTACGATGGCGTTCCAGACTGTCCCGGGAACGGGGCGATGGGCCCATACGCCCAAAGCGAACACAGCACTACGACTATCCTTACTTCAATATAGCGTAATGACCGCTTTGATCTTTGGAGAATCCCGAAATTACATGAAATAAAGGTTTTTACATTCTACTTTGAGGAGATTAATGAAATGAAACTCCAGGATGTTTGTGTGATTAGAACGTTGAGATGCATTTTTTGTAAAGCAAGTTTGAAGCGAGGCCTTCTGTGGGTGAGTCTGGCATTTTCAATGCAGTTTCAACCAGGTTCAGCAATGTGTTTTCGGTCATCTTTAACAGATGATGATCTAAACTCAGAGATTAATGTATTTGGCATGACGTAAAGACAAGACAAATAGGAATAGTACAGCATTCCATCTCTCTCAATGAGTGCAATCTTGAAGGAAACTCCGTATTTAACTCAGATATTGAACATGAGCAAGTTTGGGACACCGCTTTGGTTTTTTTTACAATGAAAAGTACCTCCATGGATACGTTCCTTTATGAAAAGGAAATTCGGGAGACATTTTCATAAAGTCAGTTGAGTCGCTCTAGTTTTAAGACATATGCAGTGAAATGTTAACTCGAAGGCCATCGGGTAACACTATATGCTGACATTGTACCAACAGACACATGTCGCCATAATGGTCTTATGTCGATAACACCGACATTTTCTGTACTTCGAGTAAACGAGACTACACAAGTAAGACTTAAAACACCCTAACTCTGTTACAAGAACAACCTCGTTTTTGTCACAACATATTACTGGTAGCATAGTATTAAAACGCTTAATGATATTGATTTACAAACCTATCACCGTATTACCCCTTATTGTGTTAGGTTCCTGACAACCTCGGGTAAACCTTATAACCAGCTCATCCTCCAAACCTAGGTTTTGAAATGGGTCACCTTTCGACCAGCTTCAGTTGTAATACCTAGGGTTTACAATTAACGTTTATAAACTTGTCTCTTGATATTAGCACAATTGTGCTTGATGATTGGTTAAAGTCACAATTTGTTTACATGAAAGTTCCATGACTTGAATAGATCATGCAACCTCACATATCATGTTAAGTTTTGTAACCCACTCTTGTCCCACTGAGCTACCGGGGCAGGTGATGAGAAGTTGTTTAATTTTACATGTCATGAATTCAGCTGGTCCATGCTGCACGTGGTTTTTCTCTCGCACGATTTGATCAATTAATGCATTTTATACCGCAACACATTGTATTGTTTCACTATAAGGTATGCCGATGTTTTCTTAATATTGTTTTCTGGAATTTCTTGAATTTAGACGGTTCATAAGTTGGATAAATCGCGTCTCCTCGGTAAATCGCAAAGAACAATTAAGAACGACGCGTGGTTTATTTCACGATAAAACATTGTTCTATCATGACGTCATTTCTGGAGATTCAAACATGCACTCGCATGGCGAACTTCATGACGTCCTTAATATTTTTGAGAGGGAAGTGTCTGGAAAGTTGTTCCCCATGAATGTAGTTGCGCAATGTAGAAAACCGCAATGGCAGAACGATCGCTTCCAAAAGTGGGAGATATATGACAGTGAGCATTAGGAGAAAAGGTAGAGATAATCGACGTGAAATATGTGAGAATATGCAGGGAAGACCAAAATTAAACAACTCCCACTCATCGTTTTTTTTTAATTATACACCTGTAAAAAAGCCCCCCTTCTTATATATTTCCGTTAAAAATAGCCACTATCTTATATTGCATCCAGTATTCATTTTCTGACGAAACACATTTGTTTTTTATTTCAAAGAGACACCGCAATCATATTGACATACAGAAACCGAAGGTCTGCTTTTACCTGGCCAATGGCCAATATTTGACTACCTTTTCCATTGGTTCTTTTGCTTCTTAGCATCATATGATATGACCTTGTGGCTATCTGGAGAAACATATAATGTTATTGTACCTCTCATCAGCAAGTACTTGTACTACCTTAGACACATATAGGAAATTAGATCAATGCCATATGTAAATATTTGGAAGTGTTGGGAAAATGAAAATGAATGATGCTTGAGTTTATTCAAGGTGTATATAAACACTGTTAAGAAACAGTTTACAAGTGCTCTGATGATGTTCTATTCATCAACAGTAATTCAGGAACAGTCTGTCTCCCAGGGTCGAGTGAATACATTAAAAACAAATCCAGCTAGAGTCTAGAATCATTTGGCAAGTCCAGATTGCCTCAGCTCTGAAATTAACAATTGTTTTGGCCACAGTTGGATTTTAATTTAAATTTGTAGATACATGTTTTTAAATAGGATAACTTTATTTCTGGATCTTAATGTTAGTCTAATTCAGGAATACAATCTATATATTATATACTAGTTTCACATCGGGGCAGTATGAATATAGAATAAGTGCGTTTCACTCTCTCTCTCTCTCTCTCTCTCTCTCTCTCTCTCTCTCTCTCTCTCTCTCTCTCTCTCTCTCTCTCTCTCTCTCTCTCTCTCTCTCTCTCTCTCTCTCCCCCCCCTCTCGACACAGCGTTTATCCATTAAAACTATTATCAATTGATCGGTCACTGCTCTGAAGGACTAAACATATTTACAGCTGGGAATAAATTCATAATGCCTCGTACCATGAACGCCCAGCTTCGGTGATTCATTTATAGGAATCCATTATTAAACAATTCCAAATACCTCAGTTCTCCGTACCTTCATATAACAAATACGTCAAGTCATGTTGTATTCAATTACCTCTTGGTTCCTCACCGGTTATGTACAACGACATACACAAGTACACATCCCCGTGGCCCCAGGTCACCCTTGGTCTGTTCTACTGCCCGGCGTCTGACCCCCCATACAATGCTTCCCTCGTTACGCCGACTTGCGTGCACGCGTCAATTACCACCTGGTAACCCCAGGTAACCGGTCGTTGTCGTGTCGACCTAGACCCGGAGTTGCCGAGGTCGCTGTCGTATCTACCTGATCTTGGAGGGGTCGAT